TGCACAAGAGCAGTGGTAGATCATCTTACTTCTTTTGTACACAGAACTTAACGTACAACTCCATGCAAATTTTGATTCATGTTTGAAATAATATGGACATATGACTCACAGCCTGAACTCTACCAAACCCGTTTAAAATAAGGCAGAAAAACTCATCAATATGGGAAGGCCTGATATACCAGACCTCAAATCCAATGGCATTTCATTGACAGCACAGTAAGTTATGGTCATAACTTCTTAAGGCATTTGTAGTAAACAAATTAATTTGCCTGTTAGGCCACTGCCCAACACAACCCAGTAAATCAGACCACACTGGAAGCCTCCATCCTCTATCAGTCCTCTTCTTAATCCCTCTGGTTCTTAGCATTGATTACAACTTCTCTTGCCACCTTCCAAATTGCAAGATGCACAGCTGGCCTGAGCTCATTCTTCCTTCAGTCTCGGCCACAGCACACACAGGAAAGAAAGCACTGCACACCAGCTGCTCTGTATGAAATGCAGTGCTAAACTCTCAGCGCAATGAAGGTGCTGTTCGTGAGCAGGACACGCACACATCACTGCTCTGAGAGAAATCTTCCTTGGAGAGATCTATGATAAAACTGATTCTATTAAGAAAGTCACACTCAGTATTTCAGTAAAAGTGGTTTTTTTCCCAAGACTGTGATGAACATTACTTCAAAGAAAGGTCTGTCTATATAACTACAATGGGTTGTGTCTTAAACATCTAGCATACTGTGTTGGTGGTTTTTGTGTTTTGTTTTCTGTTAATTTGTGCAAATAGATTTTAAAATGACTGACAAATGTATAGGAAAAGATCACAATTTCATGAACTGAACTAATACCCAGCAAACTATCTCCTGCTCTAACAATCCAAACAGCAAGTCCAGAAACATATTCTGAGCAATCTTTATTATCTAATTAGAATTCTCAGTCTTTCAAAGAAGTCAGCAGCCAAAAATTAACATTAACTCACGTTATTATATTGTAATATTATAAAATAAGGCTTTGTAACTCACAGTGTGGACACTATAGAAGAATGTTTAACATATATAACCATGTCTCCTTTTATGACACTAGACATCTATGGAGCTCACAGTGAAGTCCTGTGTATGTATAAAGTACAATGATCAAGTCCATGTCCTTAAACACTCCAGTTCTTTAAAACACATGCTACAGCTGTGGAAGTACACATTAGTTCTTTGAATCCACTGGTACAGGGCACACAGGGACCATAAACATTGATGATGAAACAAGTACACAGTAGAAAATCATCTCTAAATGTCCACCTCGAAACTTCCTTCTGCAGCTTCCTACCCCAGCGCTACTGTATGGAGTATCCTGCAAACACTCCTCCGCGCCCCTCACTACTCTCCGTCATCGACCCCAGCAGCCAGGGCCTGGGCAGCCCTGTGTAGAGCTGCACAACACACGGCTTGCATGGTGTAGAGCTCTGGCTATGCCCCAGTTTGGACCATCCCGTGTGGCTCACGCCACCCTGAGCGCCGGGGGAATGCCCTCCAGCCACATGCTGGATCCAATGATCTTTGCTCACCATCTTTTTCTGGGCACAAACTAAACTGATTTTAAATAAGACTTTTTTTAGAAACTACTACACATAAATTGTTGCCTGCTGCAAGAGTACAAATTGTTCTCTTAAATAATGACTTTAGCTCTCAGGGCGACATCATACATAACATAAAATACAAGGAGTGATCAAACTACATGATGAATATTTAAATGTTAAAAACACTACAGCCAGCCCAGGATGTAGCTCACTGGGTGCACCACCTACCTCACAAGCCCAAGGTCCCAAGTTTGATCCCCAGTACCAAAAAAAAAAAAACTACAGCAAAAGACACAATGCAAAGAACAACGGGTAAGTTGTGTTCAAAGCAAGTAGTCTGAGTAGAACTGATGGCAATGCAGCTTTTTCTGTGATTAATTTTTTATATTCACTGTATCACACTTTGTATACAATATTACAGCTACCTGTACAAATGTCAATGGTTAAAAACTTGACAAATTCCAAATAGATTTATGATAGAACTAATAAAAACATTTCTATCACTAACATGATGAAATCAGGTATCAAAATAATTCCTTGAAAATTTGCTAAAACATGAAAATGCTGCAGATACTATGGCAGCAACAAACTATTGGAGGTGAACCAGCCCTAAGGGGCCATGGGCTGCACTGCTGAAGAGAATGCTCAGACTGCTCACGTCACAGTCTGGGACCAACTCCAGGCTCTGACAGGAATGCGGTAGGCATGGGAGAACATCTGTAGACCATCCCAACAGACGAGCACAGCAGTGCACACCTACAATCCCAGCACTTGGGAGGCTGAAACAGGAGGAGCACCCCGAGTTCAAGGACACCTAGGATGTGTAGTGGGTTCAAGGCCAGCCTGGAATACAGAGCAAGACCTGATCTCAAAACAGCAGCAGCAGCAGCACTGAGGTGACAGTAACATCTAATCAAAACTGAGCATTTTCTGGAGAGAGAAGTATCTATGAATTACAGATGTCAACTTTTAGCATAGAGCCAGCAGGCTGATTCCTTCTCACTGAAACGATCTCAGAACCATTCCTAGAGCAACACCCCCAAAGGAGACAAACAACTGAGCATTGCAGCACGAAGGAGCAGCCTAGACACAGTGCCAGCCTGTCCCCCAGCCGGAAAGCCGCCCCTTCATCCCAGCACCACTCACAGCACCACCCATGGCACCTGACAGCCCGCCTGCCGCAGAGTAACTTGTGTAATCGGAGACCACATGCTCACAAAACAGGTCTGAGCAGCAAGTCCTTCTGCGAACGGCAGCCCCTCTGAACAGGAGGCTCCCTGGCAGTCACCACAAGCTGTCGCTGGTCAGTGGGTGGCTGGCAGAGCAGCCACCATGCCTGCGGCGCGGAAGCTTCACTCTGGATTCTGTTTCTGCCACAGACACTGCAATTGACTGGAGTTCTCCTTACAGAGTGCGAATTCCAAGTCATGTTCACTACAGCAGGATTCATAAGAAGATGTTAAAAGTACTCGTTATCACTTAGTCATCGCAGAAAGTTCAAATAACTGGTGGTCCAATGGGCACAGGAAGTCAGGAGAGCAGTGCTCTATCAGGGCCCCCCACTGTGAGCAGGCAAGGTGCACAGGTGCTCCTCCTTCACTGGGTGCAACAGGGCTCGACACACACCGACCACATACAGAAAGAAGGCCAGAGAAAACCCAGCGCATTAAAAATCAATCATCTCTCAATGGGAGGACTTCAGCTAATGTTTTTCCTTCCTTATCCTTGAAAATTTATACAGTAATTGTTATCACTTTATATACCAAAATTACATATAAGTCAATGCTTAAATACTGTTTGCCTATACCTTCCCAGTTCAGAAAAACAGCCTCAGACAGAACCTCCAAGGGACAAACTAGTAAGCCATGTCTGAAGGAGAGAAGGGTATTTAACGCTCCACCCTCTGGAGTCAGAGTTCCTGGCACTGTAGGAGTTGGTCCACAGATCAGAACTGGCTTTCTCAGGAACCTTCAGGAGTGTAAATGTCCTCTGCAACCCAAGTTTCTTTAACTATAAAATGCAGCTACCAGTTCCACCAACCCCACAGGAGAAGAGTGAGTTGATTCTCACACACAGGACATTTAAAAGGGTGCCTGGCAAACCGGAAGCACTGCAAAAGCTGTTTTGGTACCCTCACTGATTACTATTATTACTAGTACGACGACTGCTGCCTCTGTCCCTGCTACCACTGCCAACACAGTTCTCGACATTAGGACCACTGCTGCTGCTGAGGAGGACAGGAGGAGATGGGAGTCCCTCCGGTGCGGGACCATTTTCCAAAGAGAAGAATGCACACCGACCTGACCTTAGAGACGCAGAGGGCACCCGCGGTGAGGCTTGGCTCCACGGCTCTGCCCTGACACGTTTTCATCACCATTCGGACCCCAAGCCCGTGCACGCCCCTCTGTTGCCACACCCAGGCCAATCCTGTCCACGGTGTAAAACTATTCCTCCCTGTCTCATGGACACTATTTATAAAAGCTGCTCACATCTTAAAAATAGACTCTTAACATGACTTTAACCCATTCAGAATTCGTTATCCAGAACTTGCTAGAGTATTTTTATAGAGGAGTTAGGCGATGGAAGGGACTGATGATTTTCATGAATTGATTCAATTTAAATATTTAATAATGGAAAATGAAAACGCTTAGGCAAAAATCTTTAGTCCAAATAAAAACCACTACGAGGAGGAAAAGATGACCACTGAGATAGGAGCTACACGGAACAAAGGTGTCTTGCTTAGTGGAAGAGCCCAAACGCCTTCCAGCCCTGCCAATCAGAACCCAAGTGTGCGGGGCCGGTCAGACTGTATCCGGAAGAACTCAGCAAAAGACACAAGTACTACAATCCAGTGGTGTGAGCAGTAGGCCCAGGGCCATAAATCCAGTCTGCACACACAAGCCCAAGTCACATGGAGGGAAATCAGCAGCCTCCAGGAGGGTGGGAAGCCCCCGCCCCACAGGCAGATGTCTCACAAGCGGCCATTTGGTCTCCGCCCAGAGAGGAGCAGAGGCGCCTGCTTCCTCTACAGTCCCAGAGGGGCTTGGACTTGGCTCTGTTCGGATGTTTGTGACACTGCCTCCCATGCTCTCATCCAGGTGGTTCTTCTCTACCTAAGCTATCCTGGGAACGACTGAGTGTGCCCTATGGCACAGCCGACATGGGTGTCACTGGCATGATTTCTGTTCTGGTCCTTTGTTAAAGAGGCTGAAACTGAATTTACAGCATAAGGTGGGCATTTTTTGAAGATAGATAGATAGATAGATAGATAGATAGATAGATAGATAGATATATACACACACCAACTGTCTTGCTTTGCTATATTTGCTATATAGGACTGCCTTGCTTTGTATCAGCACAATAATTCTGTAAAAAGATTCAATTCTGCAAAAGAACGTCAAGCTTCATGGATCATGACACAACGTCTATACTATACCTGCTTCTTGGAAGGAACATGGACTCCTTAATGAACACAGAACCAGAAAGCAGGATGTACCAGCAGGTCCCAATGTCATCAGGACTGAAAGAGAAAAGAAACAGGATGAGATGGTTATCTGCAACAGCCAAAAACAAAAAAATAAGTAACACACACAGCAGCATGCAGCACCCACGTTACTCACAGAATCAACACTGTTCAACTACTAGAATCACTTTTAAAAATTATTTTTATCCCTGAAAAAAGTTATTTATTGGCATAAGTACTTTAAAGTTCCTTACTCCTACCATTACATAGCACCTACCATTTCAAATTTTATCTTTTAGTTTGATTTTCTGAACAGGAAATACTTTCACTTACTTCATGAAATAAAAGACAAAGATCGGAAGTCAGTCTCCCCTTCCCCACCGCTGAGCTGCCCTGGCTCAGAGGGTCCCCGTGGATGCACACACACTGCCCCTCTCGTACTTCCCCGCACTCTGCGTGCTGCGGTTCGAGCTGCCTGCTGCCCGGGCACCTCTGCAGGGCACCGTGTGCATGCAAACTCCTACTGATGGTCACTTCTGCTGGGTTCAACCATGTGCAATTACATAAACATGGCTTTTAAAAACTGCAAAGAGCCATCGAGGAGACGCTGGGAAGAAGATGGGCGTGCAGTTTACTGTCTCGAACCGTGGCTTCCCACAGTTTACCACACAGACAGACCACCCTAGGCCGCAGGGCGGGTCCACACACCTGCTTTCCCTCTCACCCTCACTGTCGCAGTCTGTCACGTTTATGCAACAAACCTTTAAGAACTGTATGTGAAGGGAAAGCAAGACCGTGACCTGGAAAAGTCCAGGTTCAAGTCTTCGGGAAGAGGACCTGAAGGGAAGGGAAGGGGATGGGACCTTCGGGGCCTGGAGGCCCACAGCAGGCTCCTGTTGGCGCTCGACGACGGCACTGAGTAAGGCACATGGGGAGCCACGCCATCCCACCTCTGGCTCTCCATCCACCATGGACTTCTGCCCAACTGCGCGGTAAAACACATCATCTTGGCTTAACTGTATAGTTCACTTATTGTTCTCATTATAAGAGCATCTTTTTTTCTTATTTATGCCAAGTAAAAAATGATACGATCTGCCAGATTCAACTGGGTTAAACATTTTTTATAACAAATGATCAGAAAATGAAACAGGAAGAAAGAAGGGGATATTTAGTAAACTTACCTTAGTCTATGCTTACAATGTTCCCTCCATTATAAACAAATAGGTACAGGGAAGTAAAGCCTAGAAAACTAAGAGCTGGGTGTGGTAGCACATGGCTATCATCCCAGCACTCAGGAGGCTGAGGCAGGAGGCTGCAAGTTCAAGGCCAACCTGAGCTACACAGTGAGCTCAAGGCCAGCCTGACCTTCATGGTGAGACCTTGTCTCAAAACCCCAAAAATAAAACCCAGAATTAAAGTGGATCACCACTGCCAGGCTCACTAGTGCACAGCTGCTATCCCACATTCTGGGAAGCTGAGTTCAAGACCAGCCTGAGAAGCTGGCAAGACTCTGCCTTGGAAATAAAGCTAATTAGGGTCAGGGATGTAGCTCAGTGGCACCATACCTGCCTCACAAGTCCAAGGTCCTGAGTTCAGTCCTCAGTACCAAAAAGAAAAGAAATTAAACTAAGGAAAAGGATGGAATGTAGCTCAGTGCAAAGGCCCTGAGTTCATTCCCCAGTACTGGAAAGACAAAGACACATGCTATGGGGCCTTAGGGAGTTACCAGAGCTGCTGCAAGGACTGAATGAACAGCAATAGTTAAATGCAAATAATTGCTCTATGGCAACTCACAGTTTCACCAACTGGCTTTTTAGTGATCTCCTGACCCCTCTAAGAGCTAAGTAATACCGACCAAGTAAGTGCAAGGTTTACAAACTCATCTTTCCTGTCACTGATCACAAAGCTCTCTGGAACGCCAGGCAGCTGCAGTCAGGCTGGGCACCACCCTGCCAGAGCGACCACGCTGGCCCCGCGAGTGCCTGCCAATGGCTTTTCAGTCAGGGTGACTCTTCTTCCGGGGAAGCTGTGGGAGGGATCTGCACGTGTGAGTGCTGGAAAATGACTTCTCAGTCACTTCCACAGACCCTAACTCAGGTTGTGAGGAGGCAGCACAGGGTTTGCCAAGGGTCTTCGAAGGCCCATGAAGGAAGCTGGGTCCCGCCGGCTCCCTCAGGTGAGCAGCTTCCTCCCTGTCCTCCGGACCAGGTGGGAGAGGCAGTGCGTCGCTTGCCTGTCCATGGCTTGTACGCCCATGGGGCATCACATCCTGCGTGGAAAGTTAAGTTCACCTGCGAGGGGACCCACACCTCCACACCGCGCCTCACCAAGCCACAGCCGGCTGCCCCTGGCCGGCATGCCCACCGCTCCTCATGGCCCTGCCAGGCTGCTGCAGCCTCTCTGCAGGTCCCTCTGTGCTCAGCAATAGTTCCAGCCCTATAGGAAGGCTTCCTGTTCACAACTACCATTTCCAGAACGCTTACCCCTTCTTCTAATTTCAGGCTGTTAATCGATTTTTCTGTGATCTCTTAACATCTGAGGCATCTTCCTCCAGCTACACTGAAATTCCTTTTAAGCAAGCACGGCTGTTCATGCCTAGCAGAATTGCACAATATCCTGGCTCTCATTTATACCCCATGGACATGAACAGGGGAGGCCTGCACCTGGGTCCAGCACTGGCAGCAAGCCACGTGGCCAGGCCTCAGAGTGTCCTGCTGCCTGCTGGCCCGTGAGGTCAAACTTGAAGTTCTGGTTCCTCACCTGAAAACAGGGCAGTCCACAGCATCTTTTTTTGTTTGTTTTTGGAGGGTTTCTTGCATCTTTTTTTTTTCATTGAATTTATTGGTACTTTTTAGTTATCATTGGGATCTTGTACCCTTACATGGCAGGTCTTGGTTCTCATTTTTTCCCCATACCCCTGCCCTCCCTTCACCCCCTCCACCCTTCCCTATTTACAAAGACTTTGTTTCCATTTTTTCCTTTTCTCATATTTATTCCTTTCCCCTACCCTTCCCACTCCCCCTACACCTTTAGTCCTTTCTTCCTATTTCACCTTGTCAGTTATACAACTTGGATCTTATTTACACTTTTAGTTTTTCACACCAGATAAACTATTCGGTATTTACACGTGTGTTTTATTTATTTCACTTGAGTTTGGCCTCAATATGTATCCATTTTCCTATGAATGACTCTAGCTTATCATTCTTTATGGCTGAGTAGTACACCATTTTTAGAAAAACCACATCTTTATCCAGTCTCCAAATGATGGGCAAATGGGCTGTTTCCAAGTTTTAGCTACTACAAACTGTGCTGCTATAAACATGAGTGCACATATATCACTGTAATATGATTCTTTTACTTCTTTTGGAAAGATACCCATCAGAGGGATGGCTGGGTCAAATGGAACCTCTAGTCCCAGCCCTTTGAGGTATCTCCGTATTGATTTCCATAGTGATTGCACCAGTCTGCACTCCCACCAACAATGGAGAAGGGTTCCTTTCTCCCCACAACCCCGCCAACATTTGTTATTGTGTGATTTCTTGATAGCAGCCATTCTTTATGGGGTGAGGTGGAATCTCAGTGTTGTTTTCATCTGCATCTCTCGAATGACCAGTGATGCTGAACATTTTTTCATATATTTACTTGCTGCTTTTACTTGAGAAATGTCTGTTCATTTCAGATGCCCATTTTTGAATCGGGGTCTTTATATTTGGGGGCCTCGTTTTTCTGAGTTCTTTACATATTCTAGATAATAGTCCTTTCTCTGAGTAGCAGTTGGTAAAAATGTTTTCCCACATTGTAGGTTGTCTCTTAGCTCTGTTGATGGTTTCTTTTGCAGGGCAGAAGCTTTTTAATAAGATGAGATCCCAGTTGTTGATTCTTAGCGCTAGTTCCCGTGCTACTGAGGATTTGTTCATAAAGTCTTCCATGCCAATGTCTTTGAGAGTTCTGCCTAACTTATCTTCCAGCAAGTTTAGTGTTTCTTTTTTAATATGTAGATCTTTAATCCACTTGGATTTTAGTTTAGTGCATGGTGAAAAATAAGTGTCTAGTTTTAATCTTTGGCAGGCTGGAATCCAGTTTTTCCAATACAATTTATTAAAGAGGCTATCTTTCCTCCACTGAGGATGGGTGGCTCCTTTGTGAAAAATAAGGTAGCTCAGTACACCTGGAGTTGTTTCTGTATCTTCCAATCTATTCCACTGATCCTCAGGTCTGTTTCTTTGCCAGTACCATGCTGTTTTATCACAGTGGCTTTGTAGTATAGTTTCAAGTTGGGGATTGTGATACACCCTCAACAGCATCTTTAAAAAGTTGGCATTGCTTCTCCCGCCCCAGCCGCCATCGCTCAAGCACCAGGAGGTAGCTTGGGCCCCTGATCCACCTTGGGAAGAAGAGCCACACCTTCTCCTGCCCCAGCCTTCATCGCTCAAGCGCCAGGAGGTAGCCTGGGCCCCGGTCCACCTTGGGAAGAAGAGCCACACCTTCTCCCGACCCAGCCTTCATCGCTCAAGCACCGGGAAGGCAGCCGCGTGGGCGCCCCTGAACCCCCATACCCCCCACCCCCGCACTCTCAGACCTCTTGACTGTGCCAGTCTTTGGACCCACTCTGCAAAGACAGAGGTGGTCATCAAGGGTATTTTTCTCAGTTCCCACCTTTGAACATCGTTAAAGAAAGGGTGTGGGAAACTTGTAATAGAATGGTGTAGAGTTCAACCATTCAGAAGAATGGGGAACTCAATCTGGGCCTTGCAGCCCGAGGTCAGTCAGTGTCATGGGGTTCAGCCATCATCTAACTGAGATCAGGGGTCTTGCATCCTCGATCCTCGCTCTGTCTGAGCCATTAAATGGTAAATACACTATATTGAAATTTTGTTCACTGCACACATGTTCTGGACTGCTTCTTGATTTCAATTTAATTCAAATGATTTAAGGGTGACAGACTAGTGACTACCACAGGTGGTCAGTGTCCAAGTTGTGCTTGATCTTAATGTGTTGCTGATTGCATCAGTTGAGATAAAGCATTGCGGTTGATTTGATAAGCTGTTTTCTCTGAT